TCATTGTAATGATATATGGAAGTTGTTGGATCAAAGGAGAAATACGCTTTTAGAACAATAGATAAGAAAGCAATTTCTGACTTCATAAGATATGTCTGAGATGGTTTTTATGAAGGCTTAAAGCTATCACAAATTCGTCATTTGTAACTCGGCAGAGCTCGTCGGGAGAGGCGTTGGAGTTTGTGTTACAAATCCTATGTTCTGGACATTTGAGGGGGTGAGACCAGTTGGCTGATTGAGGAACGGAAAGCCTGTATCTGAAAAAAAAAATTTTGGGTGAGTCAGCAAGACGAAACGTGTTTGAATGTTTGATTAAGATCCGCAGAATATACAAAACAACCAATTGAGCCAATGATATGCTAATTCTCACCTCCTCCGAAGTTTAACTGCTGATGCGAGAAAGTTGTTGACTGAGGGAAATTACTTGGAGTGCTGATGCCGAGGCCTACTGTTGTTGGAGTAGTATCTAAGCCAAGCTGGTTCGGCCGGACAACTCTTAGAGAATCGTCTGGTTGACTAAGAACGGCGATTCCAAGTGTTGGGTCAGAATCTAACTTTGGAGTTTTGGTTTGTGGCTCCAAAAGAGCGATATCAGACTCTCTGGGCCCATGACTAATGGGGCGTCGCTGACCAAGTTGGTGCTCATTGCCACATCGAGGCTGATAATCATTAGGTAAGGACATGTTTCTATCTGAAACAAAATCATGAACTAAGAAAATAACCTATAAACATACTCTCATTTCTTATTTGACAATGATTCGGATTGAAAGAACGACTGTTCGTGATATTCCGAACTTTGTCTAAGACATCCGTTGGAAGATCAATACTTTCGAGATAATCAGTTAACGCAGTTAGCTGGCTTTGGTACTGCCGAGCTTCTCGCTCCTTGTTATTGTTTTCATTCTGCAGCTTCTGTACTTGTTCATTAAGGTTTCCCATTAAGTCTAATCGTCGTTGTCGGCATCGGGCTGCAGCTTCCTTATTCCGTTGGCGTCGCTTCATTTTCTTCTCAACCTCTTCTGGATCCTCATCCTAAACACAAATATAATCAATCACTTTCAACGATCTGATGAAAATATGTTTTTTTTTTCAGTGAAGAAGTATTCTTTTTTCACATCACTTTTAGAACTTATGAGTCCTGTTTCCACTTTTTTCTTATTTCTTTTGAGTGTGATTTTAGTCAGATGCTCTCGAGTTACCGTTAATCCCCTCCTTCGGATCTCTCGACTACTCAAATTTTCTGTTAAATTTCTGTATTTTCGGAGTTGTGAAGAAGAACTCACTTCTACAGTCAATTGTTCAAAAAGAATACTGTTTATATAAGGATTCTGACATGTCATCAGCAGTTTTCAAGATTAAACTAGAACACTAGTACATTCTCGAATCTTAGATACACTATACAACACAATCATATGTTTTGTGGCGTGAAAATGCTTTATCAGCAATGTTGTGAAGCTGCCTAGCACAGTTTGGTTACAAACAATGTGCCCTTGCTCAGTCTTCTCCAACGTGCTTTTTATTAGTATAATGATCATTTGCAGAATCGAACCGAAAACACAGAAAGTAGAAAGAGTTTGCAGAGAACCCAAATGTACTAAAACTCAATGACTCATCCGAGAGATGGGGATGGGGGGTTTGAATGATGGAACTCAAATAAAAGAATGAACAAATAATATTAACGTTACATGCTTGTTTCAGTTTACTTATCATCTTCTATTTTTTTCTTAAATATATCTTTTTGAAAACATAGAATATGAACTTACTACGCTTTCATGATCTCGAGCTCTACGACCCGTACGTCCTCCAGATCGATTTAATCCAGGCATTTGATTATTTCCAGTGCCAGATGAATAATCGTACGGTAAAGCACGGGGTGCACAGTTAGCAATTCTTCCTTGTTGAATTGGATTTAAACTATTAGCTGAAATACTGTACTGTTAATAAGTAGAAAAACAAATGAAACAAGCCTAAAGCTGTATGAGGTAATATAGGGGATGCTAATTGACTTGAAACCTGACCTGGTGAACAGCTTGGATCGAGCGTCGATGAATGTTGAAACTGTAAAAACAAGAAAATTATTGGAATGTCAATTAACAGTTATGAAATTAGATGCTCTTTCTCTCACATTTTTTTTTATCATTTTTTTTCTGTCGCACACACTTTATCTGTCTGAAGAATACTTTATTTGTTCATCTTCTCGATACTATATACGAAGATGTTTAATGATTATGATTTTTCCAATTAAAAATTACCACTTGTGGATATATGTTTCGATCGGCATAGGTAGCATTGCTGGGGTAATTGAAGGGATCCGACATACTATGCGGATATCGTGACATCTTAGGCAAAAAACAAAAATGGTTGGTTTTTAGAGAGAGAAAATGAAAATACGGAGAATATATTGCAAAGACTACGAATAGATTCAAAAATTTACGATTATAAAAGTAAGATGATAATGAGTAGAATAATATTGATAATTTGGTTAGATTTCCTTATTCTACACCACCGCGTACATGAATCACTGCAATCTCTGAATGCTTCAATATGCTCTGCCTCGCGTCTCTTTTCGATGTTCTTTTCTCTCTTCGCAAACTGTATCTTTCTCTTCAAGCCAGGTGTTATCTAGATTCGTTTCATATCTAGTTCTCTTACAATAGCACTGTCTATAGTCAGCACTGTATGAACTGTAGCTCTCTTGGCGGAGATGGAAAAGAAGATGACTCATTCTTTCTTTTCGTTTTATTAAATAGTATATCGGATTCATTTTCCCCCTTCAGATATTTTGATGGAAAAAAATTTTAATTAATTTCAAAATGTAAATATGTATGAGAAGAAGGTGTACGATAAGATTCTTCATGATCATTGGAGGAATACCAGTGCTGTGACTTTGGGTTTAGTTTCGCTGGCTATAGTTTCAGCTGAGATGCTAGATCATTCAACACCCTAGCCATCTCTCTTTCTCTCTATGTTTGGTTGCGTCTCTTCTCCCTTATTCGTTTTTCAACCTCTTCCATTCTCTTTTTCTCTCTCTATTGTACAAGCCTCTAGAGAAAGGAGAAAGCGGACTGAGGAGAAAGAGAGGAAAGACAATGACGTTTTTTAAATGACGTCATTTTTTTTACAGGTTTGCCATTCATGCCTGAGGCGAATTGGACATCGTACAGGCGATAGAAATGTTATGAAAAAGACAAATGAAATAAGGAATGTATGGAAACAAACAAAGAGAGAAGGAAAGAACTTTGAGAAAGTGCCAAAACTAAAAAAATATAATTCATCATATGAATGATTAGAGTAAAGCTGAAAACATGGACGATGATAAGGTGATACGTTCTTACGCTCTAGGTAGAGATACCGCGAACGTCATCATACCGTAGTGGGATGGAGAATGAGGAGAAAAAGCACAAAATAATATCTTTTTTAGTCTTTTATGTAAACAAAATAGTAAAAGATATTCCTTAAAAAGGTGTTAACAAACATCAATCTATCTGTCTTTATATGGAGATCCGATGTTTCATGTTAGACAATGTCAATCATTAACCGACACTTGTGTGTCTCATCTAAACACATTCTCAAACATAACCTGAGCTGTTAGAGACTTCTGCTAAAGGATACCACCTATGAGTTTAAGCGGATTATCCTTTTGTGTGATACTATGAGGGTCATCTAATCGCATTCATTAGGATGTTGCCATTCCGTGAATGACCACGTGAACACGAAAATAAAAGTCAGTTTGTTCTTTATCACATACACACACTACTAGTCATTGCCTGGTACTACAAATTCCAAAATATCCAGAAATAAAAATTTTTTTTTTTTACATTTCCAAGCGTTGAATAGAGTTTTCATTCGCTCATTCTTCCTCTTCTTTCTCAAAAAGCAGACAGTTTTGCATAGTTGTAGTCATTGGAAGAGGTTGTTTTACAACTTGAAAGCATACAAAATATAAAAAGAAAAAGGCTTTAAGTGTCGGCGTTTGTTTCATTTTCATTGAAAACAAAACGAAGATAAGTTTACACCTGATGAGATCATTGGTAAAGAGGATTATTTAGGATAAAGAAATATGATTTCTAAGTTCTTATAGCATAGAAATGAAAGCGGATGTGGACATCTCTCTGGGACAGAGATGGCACGAATGACAGTGACTCTTATCAGCATGACAAGGTAATGGCCAGGGAAAGAAAAAACATTTTTAAACCGAACCTCCACATTACGTATATTTCAATTTAGTCAGAAATATTCAAGAATTGAAGAAAACGGTCACTCCAAATACGAAAAGAATGAGAAAAAATGATGAAAAAAAGTGAGAAGAGGATGGTATTGGAAAGCATTTGCGCAATACCATTTTCTCTTTAAATGGACAGATGTCTGCTTGCTAGAGCAAAGTGAGAAACAAATCAAAATTGATTGGCTGATTGACTTATATCGAGTTGTAGCGTTACATTATACATATGTTATGAAGTAGAAACTTTATCATAAAATTATTAAAAACTTACAAAACTCCATTCAGAAGCTCCGAATAAAAACGGAAATTGAACTGGCGGATAGTGTTGGTAGCCAGTTGAAGCAGAAGAACAAAGTTGATAACCCGAATTAACATAGTCAGAATTAGCAGAACCATCAGTGACCGAATCCGGAGACCGTATGATAACAGCTGAAGCTGTTGGTGTCACGGATTGATGTGATTGGTTGGATGATGAATGGGATGGAAAAAATGACACGATGTTCGCATTGGCAGTCGCTGAGCCAGCATTGAGGACTGGGCCATCAGAAGGTGAGTTGCTGGCGAACATGACAATGTCGGAAGGAGGGGAAAAAAGTTGACAAAAGCTGTCAAAATGATGAGGTGGTCGATGACAGTGCTTCAACTGTTCTAATGGATCTTCTATGTTTTAAACGGTTATTACACAGGTGAAATTAGACGGTTTAAAAGCTCAAAGAGGCTTTTTGTTCCGCTGCTTCAACTTTGCGATTAAAAGGAAATGTAATAATATATATTGAAATACAGGAGCTGCTATAGTGCGAATCTTGCTTCTGATTATGATGACGCTTATGATGACTAGGATGACGATAAAAGATGGAGTTGAGGTTGGAAAAGGGGAGGTCGATGACGAAAAGGATGAAATCTGTATGGTCCCGCCTATAGCCAAAGAGGCGGAGGTTTGTGGTCCAAGGTACAGGAAGAACGAACGTACGATATGAATGAGAGGAGGAGCAGGATCAATCGTTCACAACAAGGAAACTCGATAGAACCCGCCTCTTTCATACATATCGACAGTTCGATTATGAAATTGAGTCTTGATTATTGCAATCAGGAGGTCATTCAGAAAGGAACTCCTTTTTTTCAGCTATACTGAAATTCAAGCTTCAACTGAAAGCTCCGCGCTAGAGTTCGTTTCGATTAGATCGTGAGACGTATCCTTGTATGCATTACAGTATTTCCTATGTCGCTTATCACTTTCATAACGCATTTGACAGTTTAACCTCTTGCTTTCTTCCTTTCTTCACTTTCCTTAACATAGATCGATTTCAATCCTTTCAACTTTCTAAGCCTCAAGATCGCTTAAGTTTGAGAGCTTAGAGAAAACAGAAAATGAGCAATCGGTCTAGATGAAAGGCGACGAACCGATTGACCAGATAAGCTCATGATACAACAGACAGCGGCACACGTCATGACCTGCCAGCTTACTTGTTCATCGGCCTTATTTGGTTAGATATTCTTGGATGCGAAGGAAGATATGTAAACGAACTTCTATAAACTAGGAACAGTTCTTTTAACGTCTATACATATCTATTCTTTTTTTTCTCCATGAAAGGAAGTGTTTCGCCTTGTTCATGACGTACTCGCCATTTGAATATTTTGAGATAACGGAAGATGAGAACAAAACTTTTTAGCGCTCAAGCGCTGTTCCGATGCTCTTTTCTTCTCCTCCCATTTCAGGTATTACATAAATATAAATAACGGTACATCTTCAACAATCCAACTATCTGACCTTTAAATACAAAAGACTGGAGAAAAAATAAAATAAAAAAAAAGTGTGCAGGAGGCGATTCATATGCCTCAGCCAATTGATCAATAGACGAAAATTGAATAGTCGTTTTGCTTGTTGCCGTCTGAATCACCACGACGGTCTTATAACAAAATGTCAGCACAGAGGCAACATGAACGCCGAACGGAGGGTCTCGAACGAAGTTTTGGAGCCATCGTTCAGGCTTACGATAGTACAGCTATCGTATTCCTTTTATTCCAATGTTCACAATTCACAATTTTTCATTCTTAGTTCCTTTTTCGCTTTTGTATTAGTTTGAGAATGCAGTTCAAGCTGATGATTGGTGGTAAAATTCAAATTGTAAGAAAAGAAGACCGAAAGCCATACAGTCTTCTAAAGTTTACTGATAAGAGTTCATCTGGGCATTCTTTTTCCCAAATTTGGAACTATTGAAAAGTGCATAACACGTGAAGCTGTCAGGTTGCAGTCTAAGCAGACAAGCTTCGCTATTGCAGACAGTTCTATCTCCTACTATCGTATTTCTTTAGATCTTTTTATTGTTTTTATAAACAGTCTCTCATTTCTTATCAGTTTTCAAATTTTTCAAGCGAATTCAATATTCCGATTCGATATCAAAGGTTAACATGACATTTATGATTTCCTTTTTTGTTATTGTTGATACCAGTAAGATGCTTCTGAATTTTTTCCTTTTTTTCCCCTGAATATTCTTGTGAACATGAATTTCATTAACATCTTCTTGTTTCTATTCACATATGATTCATGTGAGTTTATTGAATCTCCACCAATTTTTTTTGTTTTCGATATAGGAGACAGAAGAGAGTTCGTCCTGATCGACAGTCGTTCGAATCATTAGCTCGCAGCCAATCTCGAACCTTTCATTTCAACTTTGAATACTCTTTTTTAGGAAACTTCTTCATTTACATGAAGAGGAACAAAAAAAGCGGCGGGAGAGAAGATAAAAGGTGGATTGGTTGAAAGAAGCCGACACAGATACAGAGCGGTCTTTTCCTTGGCTTTTTTTTCAAGTTTTCTGGCAACATCCAGTCGAGCTGGGTATGAGTACGGAGAGAGTTGCAGAAATGTAGAAATAGCTTGATGAACTATGTAAGTGGGAAGATGAAAAGTTGTAAAAAAGGACTGAAAGAAGAAGAAAGGAGGAAAAAGCAAAGAGATATAACTGAAAGAGGGAAAAAGGTGACCAAAAAAATATGTAACCGTGAGAGATTCGTTCATCAGTTGGACAGTAGATGAGAAGAGAGAACTCAGGAAGATGAAAAAACGGATCAGATATGGAATATGAAGTGAAGGTGGAGGAAAGACAAAACAGAACAAAAAAAAGCGAAAAAACGTATTGTTCGCTTCAATATTAATTTATTTTCATTTGTTTCTGAATATTCTCGATGAGTTATTCGTCAGGAATTCCGAAAAGTCCCCGTTTCATTGGTTTTGTTCAAAAATTTTGTTTTCTTTGTACATTCATGGCTTCTTTCAGGTGATCGTGACGAAACATCTACTACCAGAAGGGGAAAAAAGAAGCGGAGAGAATGAAAGAAAATTATTTTAATTGAAAATAAATGTAAAGAACATGAATGTTGAAAGATATGAGTTTAAGGATTTTGAGAAATGACAGTTAGAAGATGGTTGGTGGTTCATGAATGCAATTTGAACCTTTTGTTCAATTTTTACTCTCTTTTTTTCGTGTGCGATGATCGCCAGATGTCTAGCAAGCCTTTGTTCCAATACAGATATTGCCCTACGGCTTTTTTTATCTTCTGCACTAAGGCTTTGCCGTTTTTTGGGTATCTTTTTCAGTGTAACTGTCTCGAAATGCTTAATTCATTGCATGTGGCGCATATTCAAATGAGCCACACACGTACATACACACACACACACACATGTACGTCATTGCTGGCCACGTAATTCAGGTGAATGAAGTGTCAAAAATTGAAATCAATCAGCTCATTCATTAGCAGACATGACATGATTGGTTGGTTAGTTGAAGAGAGGGGGAAGTAAGATTCGTTATAATCAAATATATTATATATTTTATATATATTATCAGATGTTTTTATAATTGTTTTGTCTATGTTTTACATACATAACGGTAGAAAACATCCGGTGAATGGTTTGAAAGTCCATAGTAGTTGAATTAATTTGAAAATTTAGACAAATTAATAGTGAAAACAAGCTTTCCCATAGACAGATGGAATGACTTTGCAGAACTGTTATTCATTTGTCAACTGTAACCATGGAAACACAAATCATCTACAGCGCTTTATCTGTCTTATTATTAATCATATAGTTATGAAATAATAAGAAGAATGATGATAGAGGAAAGTATATTAAAAGCAATAGCAATAACTATATGCTTGATTATACAGTTTCAGATAGATAGAGAGAGAGATAGAGAGAGAGAGAGAGGTTGTGATAGAGAGAGATAGTCTGTGTATGGTGCGGTAGATGTATCAAAAACATTCCTCAAATGTAATTTTCTTTTGTGTCAAAAAGAAAACAATATTTGAGACGGAAAAAAATCAAAAATCATTGGCAGCTTTTCATGTGTCTATCACTTGCTTTGTATTAATCAAAATACAAAAAAACTTTTCTTTCTTTTTTTAAAGCTTACATGTGATTAAATGAGCATGAAGATGTTTCTATTCATCAAAACAAGAAAGAAACCGAGCCAATTTTGATTTTGTTTTTGTCATCATTCCAAGAACTGATTGTATAATAGTTAACTAACTATGTGTATACATATGTGTGTACATGTGTGTATCTGTATAGTTAAGATGATATTCATCTGTTTTTCCCTTCATCTTCTTGCTCTTCTGCTCAATATGCATGTGGATATGTGAAAGATCTGGATCACCTTATCAATCGTCGTCGTCAGTCATATCTTTCCAGCTTCAAATTTTAATCATTTTTTATCATCATCTTCATATTGAAGTACAAACGATGTGTGAGCTCTTAGAGCTTGTTTATCACACAATCACTGTATCACAATGAATAGAATAAGGGAAAAAGGTGTTAATTTCAGTTCAGTTGATCTGATTTTCTGGGCTTCCATTATTCGCCTTTTATCAGTTATTCAATAAATGAATATTAAAATATAAGAGGATTAAAGCATATTTCCAGCTCATATGCTCGTCTTACGTGTTAAATTTCACGAAAATGGATAAAGATAGGAGGAAGTCACACGTAAAAATGGATAAGAATAAGCTTGCCTTTGATGACGAAGCCTACTATTGTCAGATTAGCTGTGATGTGTTACGAGTCCATATGAGATGTCTATTCTTTTCCTTTTCCTTCTCATCATCATCATCAACTCTACTTCTTCAACCTCTTTCTTCATTTTTTTTGCTTCAAAAATTTTTTGTTCCATTTCATACTTGAGCTCATTAAAAGTGACGTCAACAGGGGAATTGATGAGCTCATGGAGACGTACTGAAGATGATGAGAGAAGAGTGAAGATGATCATATCGATGACGATATGATGTAGAAAAAGTGATAATCAACAAGCATATTATTGGGGTGTAAGTATATGTACTTGTTTATCACAGATTATCTCCAGATGAACAGTATGTACTTGGTGCCAATTAGATTCTTATCGAAATATGCTTTTCCAATCATTCATTTTTATATAATTGTCACACCAAATTATTGTTTTCGGTATATGTATGTACGTGAGCTGTTTTAACATGAAACTGAATGAAAATGCTGAGGAGAAGCTGAACAGATTGAAAGAAACATGAGGACAGATTGATGCAAAGAAACCATCTCTC